GAGGTGAAAGCTCATATTTCAATATATTTTAAGAATCAAATGTACGGATATTTCTTTCTTCTAGAATTCTTTCCATTAAAGTGCAGCTCATTCCTGCATCTTCCTTCTACAACTTGCTTTATGAGAATTATCCTCTTTGTATAATCCTAATTCATTCTTAAATGCAATGTTTCCATGCTTTTCCTAAAATACCAGGGTTCCCCACCTGTCCGTTCTCCATATCTTTGATATTCTAGAGTAAGTTGCACCATGAGTAGCTGCCATTCAGAGCAAAAGCAGTTTTCACACTGCATTGTTATAACAGAATAAAACAAAACCAGTCCAAAAACAAAACTGGATACACCAAAAATACAATCAAAAGAAAAACCTCACACAGCTCAGCTGTTTTAATAAGTAATAACAAAAGCTAGTAAGATCCTCTGGAGAAGTTATTACGTGCAGTGTAAAACTGACTAACTTTTACTCACAGTCAGTCTCACTTCGTTTAAAGAAAATGAAAGCTGTCTTACAATATATGCAGATAGGTTTGAGCCGTTTCGGCTCTTCTTGCACTGACAGATCTCAACGCAGAACACGTAATTACATTGTAACTGATCTAGAAATCCTTTTTCCTGACACAGAGAATCTAAAGCACCAGGTCTCAGTGTAACTATGAGACTTTCTTTTTCCCGCAGAAAGGTGCGGAAAAGCAAAACCTGGTTAGTGACGCCTCTCTACCTTTGGAGGAGCTAACTCAGACCTCCCATCCCACGTGTTTCTACCCAAAAAGGCAACTCGCAGGTCTCACAGCAAAGCTAGAAACACACACTCACAAGGTTTCTTCGCCTCTCTGCTAGCTCAACAGGTCCACACTCCATGAGATGGGCTTTTACTCCACCTTTTCTATTACAGAGTTCACCAACACCATATCTGTTTATCTGCTCCAAACAAACCGGTAAGGGAACAGGCCTGCAGAAGTTAAGTGAGAACTCTTCAGCAGCTACCTTCCCTCTGAGCCAGCAAGTGCTGTTTCTGGCACCATCTGTGTTCTGAGAATCTGTTCTTTAGCAATTCACTAAACATGGAAAAAATATTTGGAAAGCAAATTTCTTGAAGCATCTTATACACCAAAGAAGCTAGCTATAAAATGCTTTAAGAGGAAAAAAAAAAAAAAAAAAAATCACAACTTTTCCTTCTCAGGAAAAGAACCCTATACCTGGATTCTCATCATGTTTAATCAGGAACTGAGCCTGGATGCTTCCACTTTAAATCATAGATTAGAAATCACCACGCCTAGACCTCCCTTCTGGAGATCTCATTGTTTTATCCTGCAAATGAATGCTTACAAGCTAAGAAAGACAACCTGAGGTTATAAAATTAGGAGTCAAAACTGGTAATGTGGAAGAGACTGTAGTTCCAGAAAGGGTAATAAAGCTCTCAATGTTTCTGCAGAGACCATAAAGCCAGGGAGCTGTTTTCTATGAGAAAGAGGCAAGATGGAAGAAGCAGTACAGCAAACCCACCTCTTGGCATGCTTCTTAGCATCAAATTTGTGCTTCATATTTGATGAAGGAGAGAAAGGGAAAAAAAACATATACCCACCCACTGTCACTAAAAGGGGTGAACTAATTGTGGCTTTGCTCCTCCAAACAATCTTGATAACAAGCAAAACTACTTTATTTAAGAAATAAAATCTGTTAATGTGCATGGCCTCCAAATTACAGGATTGGTAGAGCCACCTCTGTGTGCACCTCATATGCAAGCAGAGGAAGAGGCAGAAGATCACTCCAAATAAGACCGTGCTTTTATAAACACACACACGTTCGGAGTTCTCAAGCCCAAACAGTCCAGTGAGGAAAGGGGAAACTGCATGTGATCTCCTGGATGAGCAGAGAATGTACTCCCAGGTAAGTCCCAGCAGTTCACCTCCAGCCTCAGCCGATGGCCAGAACTATGTATTCTTATTTCAGGCAGAGATGCTGGCCTCCTCCCTACCTCCAGTATCTCCCCCAGCTGGAAGAGAAGTACAAGCATCCTCAATTTCCTGCAACCTGCAGGACCTCGCAAAAAATCTTCTTTTGAAGTTCAAACAAATGAACAGACAAGTTTTGTACAAACTTAACCTCGAATGCCTTGAAGTACATCAGAATATTATCTTTTACAGTTGCACTTTAAGAGCAAGCTTTTCAGTGTGAAATCTTGTTTCAGAGTAGCAACTCAGCAGATTACAGCAGGTCATCACCTGCCTTTCTTCAGCCTCTTTGCTCTGAGCATGGTCTAAAAGGGCTGTTTTACCTATTTTGCTTACACCACAATGGTCTGATGAGTACACAGGAAATGCAGAGGAAACAGATAGAAATCCAACTGCTACAGCTGCCTGTCAAGTCAGTATTTATTTCAGGAAATCGTTCTACCTATGTAAAAAGAGGAAACTAGCAGGTTCATTTTTCTCCAAAAACACATCTAGAAAAATGAAGAACAAAGGTATGGATTTGGGCACCTTTTTAATAAAATCTTACTAATAAATGCTTGTTACCACCTGACCATTTACACACACTATTTCCCAGCCCATTTGGAATAATTTTGAGTCAAACTACCTCTTGCATGAGTCCTCAGGATAGTCACTTCATTCAAAAGTGAAGCTGAGGTTTTCTTAACGTTAACCTGCTCCTCCGACCTGAGCAAGCTGCATTTCAGAACAGTAGGGATTCCCTCCTAAGCAGAGATTTGGTGGGCCATTTTTCCACATACACTAAGGAGCCCACCTGTGGAGTTGCAGCCCTATGTGTGGCCCATGACCCAGAGATACCTCTGTGTAACACATACTGCAAGGAGAGCTGCAAGTCATTGAGACAGAGGCGTGCATGCTACTTGTTGGGGCACAGCTGTAGGTTTCCATGTACAATACCTGTGTTCTATAAAGAGCAAAACATGACAATTATTTCAACAGAGCTTAAGAAGCTTCTGTGTCTTCTGCATGCAATGACAAGGTAACCTTCATAATAACAACTACTCTAGAAAAAATCATCTCAAGAACATTAATCTTTCTTTGTTTCTTTTTCAGATCTTCATACCAACGTAAAAAGAAAGGTGTTGCAGGATAATAAGTGTTCTGTGTTTTGCTACTGAAAGAGGACTAATAGACTGAGCTAACCCAGAAATCTCCTTCGTTGGTTGTTTCTGGTTTGGTCTTAAGAACTTCACACCCATTAGAAGTCAGTCTTCATTCAAGTAATTAACAGAAGAGTGATGAAGTCAGTCAATTGGCTCAGAGGGACTATAAGAAACAATTTAATAAGTAAAATTGCCACAGCTGCTGCACATATACCACTCAGAAAATATCATGCAAGAACATTACTCCAACCTAAACTCCTCTCTGTACATACTGTACACACAAACTTACTCTCCCTACTAAGTAACTGACTGCAAAAAAAGACTTGGTTTCAGTAGTGACCATTCAAAGCTTTTTTTTATGATGTTAAAAGGAAGTTTTGATAAAGTTCTTCAACACCAGAAGACAACAGAGCCCAAGGAAAGCTTGATATAATTGTTGAATTCGGGCATCAGTTGCCATACTTTGCCAGTAGCACTTTTTTGAGAACCTATAAACTTACCTGCTTAGTACAGAAGTGACAGAAACCCTGCATTTACAAAGAAAAGTTGACAGGAAGTTTGTGAAAAGTACACATTTTGTGAGCAGCCTTGACGTTGTGAGGAAGCACCAAAGCACTGTACAAATTACCACAGGGCCTGATCCCTCAACTTCTGCGCCCAGACACAGCCTGTACAACCAGCTGCAGGACACCGAGGTGGTGTCCTTGCCACTCATTTGAAGTCTTGCTCTGTAACTTTGGGAAGAGAGCATTTTGAAACAGTGAGGCAGGGGGACCACGATTTTGGAAGCAATGGAGAAGGGAAGGGAAATTATTTGTAAATCAGGAAGCAGATGAAAAGCAGGGTAGAAAGCTGCTACCTACAAGTAGTAAAAGCTACACGTGCATAAGATCTAACAAGAAGGTGAATGCTGTTTGATGTCTGTGCTCAGCAGCGCTTACATCAGTGTTCATTCCCAGTCTTTCTGATTCATATGCTCCTGCTCTGACACTCAGTCCTTTCAGTCAGCTGGTACTGATGGCACACACCAGCAAAAGTTGGTCTTTGTCAATTCCCAACAGAAACACTGCAGCTGACAGCCTGGACTGGGCAAGTCGTACCTCCATCTTTCTCCTAAGCTAGGGAACGATGCAAATGAAGTAGCAGTGGACAAAGCCAGGTGAGGCACGCAGACCCTCTGAGAATAGACCAACAGTGCTCCATACAGTGCTACCAGCACTGCTTCTCTGTCCCTCCGCCCAAGTTCCCTCATGTAAAAGGATGACTTACTGCTACAAAAAGTGAAAACAAAGTTTTAAACACTCACAAGGTAAGAAAAACAGCAAAGAAAACAGATCTGTTCTCATGCCTGCTCATCTATTTTAAAAATTGTAACACTTTTTGCAGAGTATTAACGTAACAAGTTCATAATACAGTTGGGAAAGCCAGTAACTATAATAACATGAGCAAACAATTTGCCACAATGCCACACCCACTTACGGAGGAGAAAAAGAGGAAGAAAAAAAACTTAAAGAAAAAAACAATTTGTATGAATGTTCACCTTTTGTAAAGATTTTGGCCAAGTATTTAAATCTGAAGGTGCACCAAGGTTACCAAACACACACACCAATGAGGCCTGAAATGGACAAGCTTTCAGTCAAAGAGTGACTGCATCAGGAAGTCAGCATTCACCAAAGAATCCATTTCAACATTTTTTATGGTTAACTCGGAGCACAGAAATGAAGGCAGTTATCTGAATTGCTTAGAAGGCTCTATTGTTCCCTCTTCCAAAGGATTTTTCCCCAGAAAAGAATGGGTGGTGTGTGCACAGCAATGAAAGGTGGGGGAAGGGGAAGAGTCTTGGGGACGCCGAGAGAAACAGAAGCAGTTTTAAACATGGATGTCTTAATTCTAAATTAATTTCCTACCTCCCATTGCAAGTGAGGCGGGATGTTTCTGATCTGAAGTTTCCGACTCCTGCAAATTAATTAAAGAACACAGTTAATAAACAGAAATAAACACTGTTAGAAGGCAATCTATATACAGCAGCATCCATTTTAACCATTTTCTACTAGGAGGGGCAAAAGCAAATGTGAAACATCAGGTCAAAACCTGTGTGTCCAAAGAACTCTTACAGTACGCCTTGTTATTTGTTGGGCAGCTGCTGGGATTTATGAATTGCTCACTTTTCTTGAAGACTATTTCTGTTTCAGCATTAAGGCCATCAGTATCCAACACCTTCCATTATAAACGGGTGTGATAACCCTGTGTATTTGTAACAGGTTCCCCTTCACTTAAGATTTTTTTTTTAAAATTCTCCGAAACGATCCTTCGGTATACTTCTGTCCCTTAAGGAAAGGGCCATCAACTTGAATAAATGCATCTACTCCAACACCACGCTCTTCATTAGCCTAACAAGGGGCTGTACTTGAACACATATGCCTGACATTCTTCATCTCTGGTTAGAGGACAGGAAGGGAAAGAACAATTTAATTGCATTTCGAGCCCAAATTTATATCATTTCCACCAATCTAGTGAAGAGAACCCACACTTTGAAGTGCTCCCGCCGAGCCGGGCGGCAGCGTGTTTGCGGCCTTCACAGCCAACTCCTTTGTCTCCTCCCTTCCCCCTAAGCGAGAGAACAAACAAATGCCAGAGATGCCAGCAGCCCCTGGGGACTCGCAGGAATGTGCGAGCAGCGGGGCTCAGGTAGGGCAGTGCCGCGGGGCAGCCCGGGGAGCGCGCCTGGGGCCGCGGCCACCGCAGCGACTCAATCCCGGTCCCGTGCTCCAACACGCACTTCTTCCCAGCGCTTTAGCTGCTCGGTGCTGACCTCTCACTGAGAAACCCGGCGCGTCTTAGGGACCCTTTTACGACGGAAGTTGGTGAATCTCACAAAGTCTTGCGACAAAACAAGTTTCAGAGATGTCCTCGCCTGGCAACCTAACCCAGAGCCTCGGTTCTCCTCAGCACCGCCACCCACATGCGGCCCCGCAACGAATGTTGTTTCATGGGTGTTGGGTTGGTTTCTTTTTTTGCGTCGGGAAATGCTCCACCCAATAGGCTGTGCTCTGGGTGCAGCTCGCGCTCCCCACACACAAAGCTGCACTGCTCGGAGCGCTCTGTGCGTATAGTTTTACCTCCAGAAGTGCACCCGAGCACCGCGCTTTCTCCACAGAGGAGGCAGCCTGCAGGGGCAGCACCTCGCGCTGCCCTCCGCCCCCCTCAGCAAAGAGCCCGTTCGCGTAAATCGGCAAAGAAGCGGCTGAGCAAAAACCCGGATCACACAACCCCTTTAAGCTGTCATTTCCAATAAAGCAGAGTCAGGCGCTGCGTTGTTGTAACGGAGGGGAGAAAGCTCCTCAGAGCCTGAAAACTTCTCTCAGCTGTGCTCTCAGCGAGAGAAACTGCTATGAAACGGCTGTGAATTAGAGACGCTGCTCTGAAACATCACGGGAATCTCACACAGCAACCTGGAAGCTGAACGCTCGCTCCTGAAGCGGAACAAAGAAGGGGACACTCATTCAATATTACAAATACTGGGAAATCGTAACGCTGAAAAATCCCAAACCACATCATTGGCAGTCAATACGCTATTCACTGCGTTTCCAATTGTGTCATGCCATCAGTCTCTCGCCCTCCTAGACCCAAATTAAAATTCATGAGGGTTTCGCAGCCAGCGGTGCCACTCGCAGAGGGGCCTGGGAACGCACGGTCCCAGCTGCGTGCTGAGAGAACCGTGCCCCATAGCCACCCCATAGCAAACAGTGGGGAGAAGGGGAGCATCCCATCCAGAAGCATGCACATCGGTCCTGTACACCTCCCATTCACCTTCATAAGCAAAGCTGCATATCTGCTGGACCACCTGACACACAAATGATGCACCAAAGCACGAGCAGCAGCCTCTACACCCACTTAATGAAAGCACATAACACAAGCTTTTGGCGTTTTCTTTCTTCCTGTGTGGCTTTGAAGGATGGAGTGGTTTGATGCAAGTTAGAACTTTACCAGCCAGCTTTCAGAGCACAGAAACAACTCGGGTATCCTGAAAGGGATGAGTGGCACAGAAGAAACGCACCTCCCAGTTACACCTTTCTCCACCATATAGAGCAGAAGGAAATGGAGAGCTGCGTACAGAACAGGGACAGTCCTGCTGTGCACCTCAATTTGTGGCTATAGTGAGACACCTATTGTACAGAACTGAAAGGTCACTTCAAAACATGAGAGCAGCCACACGAACCATGCTGTTTGACGCTATTTACACCACAATCAGATGCCTGTCTGCACCACAAGCAATTTTAGCTCCGTACCCAATTCACAAGCTTTAAAGTGGCTGTCTGTTGGTGCATGTGAAAAATTAAAAAGAATTGGTGTTTTTTACATCATTGCTGTACTGCAACAAGCAATAGGGGAAAGCAAACAAAGCCTTATGCAGACCAAAGGGGAGTTACACAGAACAGCATCAGGTAGAAAAGCATGAGATTTCTCTCTCATGAAATTTGAGATTTCTCTCCGTTACTATCAGCTCCTACAGGGGAAAAAAAAGAAAAACCAAAATTTCTTCAAGACACTGCCAGCCTATTTCCACCAGGTGACAAATCGTGCATCTGGTGCATGCTCCTTCTCTACTTCAAGCAAGCTTCTTATTTTATTCATGCATTCTAACCTGGCAGTGCAAGTAGCCGTCAACTGAAGAGCCTTGGCAAATTGTGTTTCTGCTCCATACCTTTCAAAGCCTTCACGTGCTACCTGTGGTTTGCAACACATGAATTCGGCACATCGAATGTCTTACTGGTGACGAAAACAGACTTCTCTGTTTCCTGAGTTGTCCATACTATTATTTGGAAAAACTTTTTTTTTTTTTTTTTTTTTTTTTTTTAAGCCCATTTGCAAATACTCCAGTTCTCTTTTCCAGGAACTATGTAGGTAAGTGGCTTGTTACTCCAGCACACTGCTGGTTAGTGCAGACATGCTAACACATCTATTCTGTGAACTCTGAGGACACACAGCCTTCACTTTGGGAGACACATGCTTGCACTGAGAGCAAGCAAAACAAGGTGTCATTGCCCCTTTACAAGGAAAGCAGCATTTGTGCCCTATGTGCACACAGAGACAGAAACAGCAAAGTAGCATCAGATAGATCACATACAAAAGATGCTGTTAGTGTTCTCTGGAAGGGCAATTTCTTCTAAGAAAATTCAGAAAACAGGCCCATGGTCATCTTGACAATGTCCACAACCCATGAGAACCCTCCACATATCAGAAATAACATTAACCATGTCTTGGGAAAGTGGGGAAGGGAACCCCACAATTTCAGCATTTGTTAATGTGTACTGTACTCACCTTCCTTCTCTCTGTTCTACCACATACACTTGTTTTCCCCTTCCATCTACCATTGGGTGCACAAAAGACCCTTCTTCCCTTCAGGGATTTTTTTTTGTTTGTTTGTTTAAGTAAGAACAGAATAGATGCATTTATAAGGTAAAAAAACAACAACAACAAAACATTAAAACACCACACTTTTAATTAGAGTTCTTAGCTTTTTGTGCTAAAGGGCATCTTACAGATCTCCCCAAGTCTGACCAGCATGGAGAGAAACACACACACGTATCTAAGTAACCGCATTTCTGCGTGGTCATTGTGCCCACACTCACCACAGACCCTTCTCTTCATCCCGCCACCCCAAAGCCGCTGCCATCTTCTCTTTAATTCCCATTTTTCCACAATAACCCCACACAACACTCAGTTTTAATTGAACAGACAACGAACTACCTTCATCACACTGTTAATGCTAAAAAAAAAAAAAAAAAAAAAAAAAAAAAGCACAAAAGCATAGAACTACTCTTTAGACATTTCTGTGGAGCAAGTTAAACATGTTTGAGAAGAGACTGGGTGAACATCAGTGACATCAGTCCATTCAGTTGTTAGAATTCAACACCTATGGGATGGAAAGTAAATGGTCCACCTTCTTCTCTACTCCAAGGATTGGGCACTGAGCAAGTGCTCATCCATCTCATTCACTTCAGGTAGGCACCATTCTAGGACAAGCTACATGGGAAAAGCCTTGGCACATCACTCCACAGGCACAGCTACAGCTGCAGTGTGCACCTCAATCTATCAGCACTGAGAGCCACAAAGAGAAAACTATTTTGGTGTAAGAAGCCTCAATGTGATCAACTGCAGTTACAGGATTAGTGACTCCTATGCCCAAATGGAAAACTGCTGCTACTGAAATCAATTTGGGGGGGAAGGAGAGAAGATACCTTGGTCACTCTGCAACCATCAGAACAAAAATGGGCAAATAAACCTCAAAAAGCAACACACACACACAGTTTATTAGTTTGTTCCTCTAGATTGCCTTCAAGCAGGCAATGCTGTACCACAACAGAGTGAATCAGTGTTCAAAATGTCTTTCCAGTGCAAAAGTACTAAATAAAAGAGTTCTTGACTCTTAATATTAGTGTGGCTGAGGAATAGGAAAAAAAGGACAGGGTTTTTTAGTCACAACATGGAGAAGAGGCAGGGGGACTCTCTATCACATCCGTCATGGCAAACATAGGCAGTGCAGTAGATTAAGGCACTGAAGCTCATTCTGTAAGAAATGCTGCAGCTTTAGCCTGTCCCCTGGCTTCAGTGTACACAACTGGTTTAAGGCAGTCTTTTCCACCTCTTTAACTTGTTTGGATTTAATTCCTAAAAGCACCCATCATTGGTAATAAATCTGAGTAAAACTTCTAAACCATTTTTACACATACCTTAAAAATATATGCAGTTTTATATATAATGGTATTTACAACTGTGTGTATAATATAAAGATACTCATCAAATTTTGTATGTAAACCATTTAGTCCTAACAAGTAGTTCGGGTACCTGCAAAAGCATGTGGTCACATTTGTTGCTCGAAAAAAAAAAAAAAAAAAAAAAAAAAAAAAAAAAAGGCACACTTAATTTCAGTTAAAAACACTCAGTAAAGTGAC